CATGTTACGAAAAGTGAACTTATCTTTTAAGCTCATCAAGCATTTGAGCATTAATGGATTCCATTGGCCAGAATATTATCATTTATTCTGGCCACTGGAATGCATTACCGCTCAAATGTGTCTAGCATTTAGACGCGTTTAGGCACGTCACATGATTTTTCAGTTTGGTGGTAAATGGTAATGGATAGCTTCTGATTTTTTTCATTATCAAAGGAAAACTGGCCAAAAATAGTAAAAAAAAATCATTTTTTTTATTTAGCTCTGTGTTTATTGTTACGACCATAACCTACCACCAAAGAACAACCCAAAAAAATTCTCCAGCTCTTGACGATCGCAGCGATACCATATATGTGTATGTTATTTGTTGTTTGTACCCGTTGTACAGCCCAGAAACAATACTGCGCATTTTGTTTTTGTCTTTAATGTTAATGTTAATGTCAGTGTGTTTTTACCTAAAACACACTGACATTAACATTAACTGACACTGATACCATTTTTTTTTTAAATCCTGACCTTTGACCTTGATCTTTGACCCTGACCTTGACCCAACCACTAACCCTGGCACTGAACTAGATCAAACCTTGATCTAGGTATTTTTCTTTATTTTTTATTTTATTTTTTAATATTTATTTATTTATCTTCTTTTTTTTTTTTTTTACAAACTTTTTTTTCCCTCTATGCCAGGAGTTAGAGAGATACAATGTATCTCTCTTCTCCATTCATAGCACAAAGACAGCACAAAGACAGGTATGCAAATATGCGGCCCCACGGAAAAAAGTCCAGTTCCGTGAGGCCACATATTTGTGTGACGTTGGCGTCAAGGGGTTAAACATTCTTCTCCTGAATGTGTTTTTGATTTTTTTTTCCAGCTTGTAAATACACCTGAAAACACCTATGTGTGCATGGACACAAGACAACATTGAGGTTCTTTTACAGATTGAAAAAAAAAAAGCGACAAATGCCTTTAAAAGTGGCATTTTGTAAGTTGCAATGTGCATGAGGCCTAATAAGTATGAATATTATGAATAAGGGTATACTTCCCAACCTTTGAACTTGAGAATGAGGGACACATTAAGGAGACGGTAACCCTCGGCATGCACATAGAGTGCTGAAGTGGGTGTGGTTAAATTATGCTAAATATTGGGCATGACCTAATAACTCCTACTCCCTTTCTACACTACTCCCCCATTCTGTACACACTGCCCTCCTCCCTCTACTCCCTTTGAGGTGGGTATTTCAAGGGGAGAAGTTGCATCCAAACCCCTTTGTGCTCACTGCTGCAATTACACCCATCTCCCCCTTCTAACCTGTGCACCACAACCCCTCTCCTTCTGCTAACCTCTGTACCCCAACAGTCCCCCACTGACCTCTGCATCCAAAATGCCCTCTCTGCTTACCTCTGCACCTGTGTCTGCTTGCCTTTACACCCAAACACCCTTCTCTGCTAAACTGCACCCCTCAACCTCTGCTAACCTCTGTTCCCCAAACCCCCATCTCTGATCATTTCTGCACCCCAAACCCCCTTCTCTGCTTAGCTTTACACTCACCTTTGCACCTCAACCCCCCTTTCTGCTCCTGTCCTGCATTCTATCCCCTGTCTTCTCACCTTTGTAGCCCCATCTGCTCCTTGCTGTACATTCCAACTCCCCTCTCTTCTAATATTTGCACATCAACTCCCTCTCTTAGCTAAACTCTGCACCCACAACTCCTCTCCCTCTCCTAACCTCTGTTCCCCTCTCGCTCACTTTTGCACCCACTCTCTCTCCTAACTTCTGCGCCCCCTCTTTTTACTCACCTCTGTACCCCAAACTCCCCTCTGCACCTCAGACCTCTCTCCCAGACCTGTGGGACTCCGGGACTCAGTTGAAATTCCCAGAAGGTCCCACAGGACCCGGGACGGTTGGAAGGTATGATGAGAGTATAGTGGAAAGGAAAAGGCCTTGTAATCCAAAATCTTCATTATTACAATATGGTGTGTGTCTAACACTGTTCTTGATAGCACTATGCACATGTCTACAATGCATTATAGCAGTGGTCTCGAAAATGTGGCCATGGGGCCCTTTGCTTGCCTTAATCTGGCCCTTGAGACAATATTCCTTCCACTAATGCCAACAATGGGGCAATATTCCTCCCACTAAAACCAAGGATGGGTCATTGTTTCTTCCCACTGGCCACTGTCTGGCCCCCCTAAAGCCAACAGGACATAAAATCAACCCTTTGTTTATAAGGTTTGGAAACCCCTGCATTATACAATGATCCTTTTTTAAGTTGAAGATTTGTGGTAAGGAAAGTTAAGCTCTACTCCATTATATAACAATGTTTAACATTTTATTATGCAAAAAAACAATAAAAAATATGAAGATAAATTTCAGCTGGTCATACTGAGAGTGTGTTCAGATAAAGCTGTGACAATGGCAGAACTGGACTGAAGAGTGTTCACAGGATATAAAATGGACATAAAAAAGGAAACAGTCCCCTGCGCTCGAGAATGGTATAGTACGATTTAACAGTGTCTGGTCCTTTATGCATCCAGTGCTGGCAAATGCCTTGCTGCCCTATAGGGGCTTTTTTTTCAGAGGAAAGGGGGAAACTCCCCCACCCAAACCTGGCCACGATAGGACCACCCCTTAGAGAAAGGAATGCAAGTAAAATTTGGGAGGGGGCTATAAAAAAATGTATGGAATTAACACCGCGCCCCCCCCCCCCACATTAGTAAGAATAGCGAGTAACACTGCCCCCCCCCACATTAGCAAGAAAAGCGAGAAAAATTGTATCGCCGCTCCTTACCTGATGCTGACGATCCGCGCTATGTAGGATACGAGCAGAGGGCGTGATGACGTACCGCCGGGTGTCTAAGATACAAAGACGCTGGCGGTAGAGGGGGGGGGGGTGAAGCGTATATGTCCCCGCTCACCGGCTGTGAGCAGCGGCAGTGACAGGTGCCGGGCACGCGCAAGTGACATAAACAAGCCGCGTCCGGCACCTGTCACTTTCGCTGCTCTGCATAGCTTGTCATTGCAGAGGCAATTCAAAGAAAAAGGTGGCGGAACGCAGTACCGGCATCAGCCCTGCCTATAGGGGTTGGGGGAAGAACCCAGGGACGATAGCTGAGAAAAAAAAACCAGCCTTGTGCATTACCAGATGATACTTTTATTAGATTCAAAGAAGAAATATACTCACAAACACTGTTTAACAAAGGCATATTGAATTCAAAGAACCAGTCTCCTCTTGAGAAAACCCTCCAGATGACTGCGCATTTTGAGGAGAGGTCTCCTCTTCCTCAAAGCCTGACAGGTCCATAAAGTGGATCTTTCAGTGTCTGCAGGAATAATTTCTTGAAGTGTCACAATATACAGCAACAGGAACCTGAAGAGGGGACTAAGAAATTAAAAAGCTTTGCATTTAGATACACTTTATAGCCTTATCACCCCCACCCCCTTTAACCCACGCTGCGAGACGTTTACTTGTCCTGAGTCGTTGAAGCAAATTATTCTAACCTGGAGTTCCCCCACCCTGGTCCCTCACTGATGTTGGTCCTCTTTCACTGGGCAGCCAGATCACATGTAAATGCACTGGAATGCACATGTCCTGAATAGAAGTGAAGAAAAAAAAGAAGAGAAGAAAAACACATGGGAACGCAACAAAAATGCCTGAAAAATGCACCAGAGCACTTGTAAATGCACCCAGAAAGCATCAGAACGCACATGTCCTGAATTGAAAAAAGAGGAAGAATTGCACCGCAACACATTGATATGCAGAAATTGTGGTGTGGATCAGCCCTTATGGTCTGTCCACCTCCCACTATTGACACCCTACAGTAGACTGACACCCACCTGCATAGCCACCTATTTTTAAAGAATAAGTTCACGTTTTGGAACATGTTCCATGTTCCAGCTCTGGCAGCCAGTTCCCTTGATTGCCCCCTCATTGTGACAGCGGACCGGGGACTTTCTCCATGCACCTGCTTTCACAATTCAAGAGTAGTTCATTGAGAACTACAAGCCTCAGCCGCTCTTCTCACACGGCTGCGTCATTTATTCAGTTTCCTGTGAGTGCAGTAAGTACAAGTATCGTCAGCCTTTGTGGCTGCCGGCATGTAGTTCTGAAAGATCTATGGGGTCACTGATGAGTGGTTTTGTAGTTCATTCACAAGCCCTGCAGCTTGCAAACAGTCAGCCCATATGAAGGTACGGGCTGAAAGCTGCAGGGCTTGTCTGCAGGAGTCTGACATTGCATCCCTGATCCACTGATCGCTGGTGCAATGTTTTCCAGGCTACTTAGGGAAAAAAGAATAAATGCACATTTTTTTTCCCTGCGAAAATATGTACAATTATTATTTTTTTTAAAAAGGTGAACTTATCCTTTAAAAGTGTTTCTCCCCCACCTCCTCCTACCTATCCTGTATAAAAAAGATGTGTGTACTTACCTTTTTTGTAATCTGCTCCAGTCACATGATCCTGCAACTCAGGCTCCCCTGTGTCAGAGAGTGGCTGCTGCAGGGGAAAGGAGGGAGGAGCAACAATAGCTGGGCAATGGGAGCCTATGGGTGATGTCATGACTCCTGAAATTCACAGCTATTATTTAGCGCTCCCTTACACAGGGAGCGGTCATGCAACACTGTACCCATATGAATTTTTTTAGCATTTTTTTGAGACAGATAAAACTTTATTTTGGTAGTATTTATTCACCACTGGATTTTTTTTTTTTTTTTTATATATATAAATGAAAAGTCCAAATATTTTGAAAATAACGATTTTCTTATAAAATGTAAATAAATAATCTTTCTTCATAAATCTTGGCCAAAATGTATTCATCTATCTTTTTAGTAAAAAAAAAATAACCCAAATTAGTTTATAACCTAAAATTATGATTTTTTCAAAATTGTTTTTTTACATTTTTTTTTATATTATTATTTATGTTTTTTTAACATACTGTCACCCTAGCAGTACGGTGTCACCATAGTGACACTGTACTACTTGTGGAGGGTGATGAAGGTTTTCTTTTCTTACATTGATTGCTTTTACACCCATAAAGCAAAATCATTTCTCCTTCTCTCTGGCTGCATTCCTACAGCCATTGAGAAATACTGTGAGAGCTGTGATTGGTCACAGCTTGTCACATGGTACAAAGCTGTTGTGAATAGCATCGTACCATGTGACTTCTGCAGGGGCGGACTGACCATTTGGAAACTCGGGCACTGCCCGAGGCCCGAGTCAGTAGGGGGCCCCATGAGATGCCCCTGGTACCTTTTTCATAGGCTTTTTTGAGTTTGGGCAAGGACAGAGGGGCCCCATGATCCCCTATTGCCCGGGGGCCCCATGAGTTGTCAGACTGCCCCTGGACCTCTGTGATCATTCACAGATTTCACACGTAGTAAGCAATAATGTCAGGAAGTGACATCTTGTTTACTACTATTCTTGTGATCACTAATTGGCAGTCAGTGATCACATGAATGGGGACCTCACACCTAGGTCCTGTACAGCGATCTGTGTTCCACTGTGTCCAGAGGACACAGTAGGCAACAATCGCGGTGCTGCGTGCTCCCAGGGAACGTGCACAGGCAACATTTATAAACGTCCCCCCACATCGGAAGCACTCATGTCCTGCCATTTATCGACATGGTCCAGACGGAAAGAGGTTAAAAAAGCAATGCCTTGTATGATAACACAGATAACACATGACTGATGACAACTCCTTTGGGATAGTAATTGGTGACAAAAGGGTTAAGTGTGTGGGCGAAGGGTGGAGGAAAAAGGATGGTGCAAACTAGGTGTGAAGTTATTGGTGGGGAGTGTAAGAAGGAGGGGACTGTCTTTAATGTAGTGCCTTGTGATCTGTGGGTCCCTTCAGTCTGCACGTGTGCAGGAGGGAATAAATCCCTCCCATCCTTATTGTTTTGGCTTTGTTATCCTTACTTTGTCTTCCAAAAAAAAAAATGTGTATGAATAAATAAATAAAAAGACTTTGCATAAAAAAAATAAAAAACATAATGAGGAATATGTACATTTACTGAACGACATGGGTTTTTTCTTTTCTTACGCTTTTATGCTACTTTTGTTCCTCGTCAAGCATGTTCACTTGTGTGGGGATTATCATAGTTGTGGTGTGTCTGTTGTACCCAGGGGCGGACTGATCATGTGAAAACTCGGGCACTGCCCGAGGGCCCGGGGTCAGTAGGGGGCCCCATGAGATGCCCCTGGTACCTTTTTCATAGGCTTTTTTGAGTTTGGGACACAGGGGACACAGGGGACAAGGACACAGGGGCCCCATGATCCCCTATTGCCCGGGGGCCTCATGAGTTGTCAGTCCGCCCCTGGTTGTACCTTTTCATGTCATAACTGGCAGTTATCCCTTTTGCGGGCTGAGGAAGCAGGTGGTGGATAAAGTTGGGTGAATTGCTGGCAGAATGCCCAAGTAAGCCCCTGAGCCTAACCTAGACTGCTGGAAGTTGAATTGGCTCCTGATAAGGAAAGAGAGTTTGTGGACACTCACTCAGCCCTGCAATAGGGATTCTGGAGCTGGTTATATGTTAGTGTTTTGATTGTCCATTATTTACATATATCCACTGGCTTCCGATTGCGCAACGGATCAAATTCAAAATCCTAACACTGACATACAATGCTGTCCACCATACTGCCCCGAACTACATCACTGACCTAATATCCAAGTACCACCCAACACGCACACTCCGCTCCTCACAAGACCTCCTTCTCTCTAGTTCCCTGGTCTCCTCCTCCCATACCTGCCTCCAGGACTTCTCCAGGGTGTCACCCATCCTCTGGAACTTCCTGCCCCAACCCATCAGATTATCAAATACTCTCCTCTCCTTTAGGTGCACCCTGAAAACCCATCTCTTCAAGGAAGCCTACCCCACCCCCTGCTAACTTGCTGACCTCCTCCACTCTTCCTACCACTCCATCCCCCACAGCTATCTCCTCCTGTACCACTATCCCCTCCCTCCTAGATTGTAAACTCGAAAGAGCAGGGCCCTCGATCCCCTCATGTTTTGCATTGTCTCCCTTTGTAATGTACAGCGCTGAGTGAACTATTGGCGCTTTATAAATACTGTATAATAATAATAATATATCAAGCTATGGTCAATACTTAATAAAGTATAAACCCAGTCGAAAGAACTTATGTTGTCAGAGTGGTTATTTAAGGTTATGTTTTCTTAAGAGAGAAGTGAACAGTGGATCAGTCATGATGATTGTTTACGATATACGGTGCTTTAGGGATCTAGAAGTCATTCATTAATGCACAAAAAAAGCAGCAGATCATGAATATCTGACCCTGAGAAACAAACGAAGGACAAATCGTGGTCACGTCAGTCATGGATAACTGGATTTTGATCAATTTGCTCATCTTTAGAACTGAGTTTAGACAGTCCAGGAATTGGTCAGGATAGGGGTGGAAGACAGTAGACAAGAGAAATATCTGCAGGTTTAAAAAAAGCAGTGTTCCAGTCTTCAGGCTAAGGGATGAATGGGAACCTTTGGACAAGAAGGTAAGTGGGGGGAGGGGTAAACACAGCCATGTGGCTCTGTCTTGGAAGGAACAGATGTTTGGGGACAAAGGAAAGTGGGCCATGGTAAAAGGTGGGTGTTCCTAAGGGACATGGTTTATTGTGTTATACCTTTTTACATCTTCATTGGCATCAGTTTCTTTTTGGTTTTTGGCATTCAGCAACGTGAAACACCAGTGCTGCAAAGGAAGTGCTGAAGGATTTCCCTCTGCCAGGTACTGTGATCGCAGGTCTAAACAGAGTGCGGATCCAACTCTGGTCATTGTTTCATGAAGTAGCTCCATTCAGAGCAACCAACCCAAAATATAGTATCTTACTTGTTCTGGCCCAGGAGGCAAATGCCCCCCAGCTTGGTCCTCTCCTGCTTCAGACAAAACTTTAGGGAACACATACAGAAGGAAGTGAATAAGATTTTTTAGGTATACTTTATAACTTTTACTGTATTACTTTAGGTTTATTTCTCATTCTTCGACGATGTATCTGTTCTTAGACGTCATTGTGTTCTGTGAAATCTCTGCGCTGAGGATATGTCTGCTTCTGCGCAATTAATTTCTGAAGACACTGTGCTCATGGTGACCATGAAATTAGATTAATGGCTACAAGTAATTAAAAAAATAAAACAACAAGAACAATTTTTCGGTTAATTAAGCTCGCTATTTTTGTAATATAGATGAAATAATTCCAATCCACACGCAGAGAATTCTCATTCTGAATCCTAAAGCCCCATGTCGATGATTGCTGTTAAATTTAAAAGAAATGAAACAACAGAGTTTTAAAATCACATTCTGATAATGACTGTATATTATATGACAGTCATAAGTGAAGTTAAGCATCTGTTTCCAGCCAGATTGGGCAACAATCTCACACCTCTGGAACAAGAAGTCACAGCCAGCCACTCTTTGGGATTGGATGTGGGAAGCCATGGATAGGATAGGTTTCCAATGGATTCTGTTCCATTGGAGATACAGTGTATGGCCAAATGTTTATGGACACCCTCCAAATAATTGCATTCTAGTCTAGTGTCTAGTGAAGGGTACTAAAATGAATAATAATAAAGTGTAGAGCAACAGACTAATATCTCATATAAAAAGAAATATTAAACAATAATTAAAGTCCCATGAAATGTCTCTTAGAACACCACTGTGCAATGTGTATCAGATAAATCTTCTCTCTTCTTCAATGCCAACCGTGCCACCACCATTAGGTGAAAAACCTGCTCACCTCACTTTATGACCTCATCAATAGGTCATTATGTGCTCAACATGTGGATAGACTTGTGTACACCCTCTGTGGTCTTCTTCCAGCTCCTCTCCCGACACCGCCACAGTATACACTCCTCCAGCTGACGCTCTCATATAATATATATTATGGAAAACAAAAAAGTGAACCATAGTGCTCTCTATTTATAAAACAATTTATTAGCCCGCAGATTAAAAACAGTTATAAAATGTAAGAAACAAGCCAGCATATAATGTATAATTTCATTACATGGCTCACCACCCCGCTCTCCCAGATGTTCATCAGTTCAAAACATCTAGGGCTCAGCTCCTTCCACCTATACGCGTTACACCCCCGATTCGGGCTTCCTCAGTAGGCCTGGCTTTATAAAGACATGGTTTAAACAGTTTGGTGTGGAGCAACTCGAATGGCCTGCCCAGAGCCCTGACTGCAAGTATATTGAACACACCTTTGAACATCCAACATCAGTACCTTATGATACCCATTGCCTGAATGTGGATGCACTCCCACAGACACACTCCAAAATCTTGCAGAAAAGCTTTTCCAGAAGCATGTTGGATGCTATAGACGCAAAGGTGGAACAATTACATATTAATGCTTATGGTTTGGAAAAGGGATTTCCAACAAACTCATGTGCAGTGGATGTGATAGTCAGGTGTTCACAAACTTTTGGCCATATAGGAGAGGTTCACTTTTCAAGGGAAATTGCACCTTGCAAGGGAATTTGTATTTGCACATGATGGACTGATGGAAGTCAGCAGAGCTTCACCTCATTCACCGAGCTCTGGAGAAAACTCCCTTGCAAACTGCAACTTCCCTAGGAAAGGTCATAGCTTTTTTGCTTTTTTAGTAAATCAAGTTAGTCTAAAGGCTTAGAAAATTCAGTTTGTAAATAGGTAGAAAACTGGCTAAAAGATCGTATTCAGAGAGTAGTGGTTAATGATTTATACTCTGAATGGTCTAAGGTTATTAGTGGTGTACGCACTAGTTCAGTGTTAGGACCCTTACTTTTTAACATGTTTAGAACTGATATAGTTTGGGATTAAAAGTACCATTTTAGTGTTTGCGGATGACACCAAGCTATGCAGTGGAATAACATCCTTACAGGAAGTCTCCGACTTGCAAGACAATCTCAATGCTTTGCTTAATTGGGCAACTATGTGGCAAATGAGGTTTAATGTTGATAAATGTAAAGTTATGCACTTGGGTGCTAAGAACATGCATGCATCATTCATTCTAGAAGGAGAACAGCTGGCAGAGTCAATGTCAGAGAAGAATTTGGGTGCTCTGGTAGATCATAGATTTAGTAATAGTATGCAATGCCAAGCTGTAGTATTTAAAGCTAGCAAAAGCCTTTCTTGTATTAAGAGGTATAGACTCCACAGAGACATCATTTTGTCCCTTTACAAATCCTCATATTGAATATGCAGTTCAGTTTTGGCTACCAGTTCACAAAAAGGATATCGGAAAAAGTGCAGAGAAGGGCAACCAAACTGATGAGTGGGATGGAGGAGCTCAGCTATGAGGAAACATTAGAGGAACTGAATTTATTCTCTCTTTAGAAGAAGAGATTAACCTCCCTGGCGGTATTCCCGAGTGTAAACTTTCAGTACCAGAAGCGGTAACCCCGAGCTACACTCGGGATCATCCTACAGCGTTGCTCTGGGACTCCTCCAGCAATTACCTTGTCCTGTGCTCCCGCAATGTCCCCCCTAAAGCATCCCCAGCCATCT